CACAAAAAGAAGAGTAAGAAAGAAAAACCTATTCTATCCCCATCAGTCAGAACCAAGGTGCCTGGGAGGAGTCAAAATAAACAACAGCTCAAGCTAAAGCTTAAAATAATAAACGTATCTGGATCAAGCTGAGAGAAAGGAAACAGCTTACAAGTCAGTAAAAAAAATAAATAAATAAATAAAGCATCAAAAATACAAATCAGGTTATATGTTAGACAGACTCAAAGTACAAGCAAAGAAAAGTAAAATTAGTCCTAAAGAGTAATAGCAAAGTTCAACTTCTGGGAAGATCTATTGGATTTGTGTCCCTGTCAGCTAATTATCAAGAGGAAAACTTTGAAAACAACCACACCTGAAGAGGAAAAATGAAAATGTGAGTAATGTGCATGAAGAACATATCGAGCAGTACAATTTGAAAGCATCAAGTGATGGCTTCAGTGCAAATACAGTTTGTTGTAAGGCAAGATGCCCAAAATGCCTTTCATCGGTGAAGGAAATTCATACATGGCTGTATTTCTGATGAAAATGAAATATTATTTAACACTTTATTAGATACTGGAATATTATCTCATTTTATCCTAACACACCTATCCTTATTTCAAGTGATAGGCTAATAAATGGCTCCTTTAACAAAAACCATGTCCTGGTTTTTAACATTTTCCAATTTCCATCATGTAAATACAGTCATCGTGGCTGTATTTAAGCCACCAACCAGCTGGTAAAGTTCCTGGCAGGAACTAAATCCAGAAGTTATTATTCATTTAGGATGCAGAAATTGGCTCCTAATTAAAGTCACTTGCCTCAAGGGAGCAGAATGTGAACTCACATCTTGAATAGCTAAGCGCTTTCACATCAATGGTTTTATTTCCTCCAGAATCATTAGATTTTGATATAGCCTGTTTCTTTCTAAAAGGCCTATATTATTAACACATGGCATGCTTGAGTATTTCCTAAACCAAATATTTTGCTTGCACCTTTAAACTCACTTATTTAAATGAGCTAAGAAAAGGCTTTCCCACTTTATTAGGTATTTACCTACTAGATTATTTACCTATTTTTAAATTCTTTCAGTTAGTTTTATGTATTCCATTCAAATCTGTCATTCAAATGGATTTGGGGTGATATACAAAAAAATGTTCTTTTCCCAATCAGTCCTTCTGGGTTCATTTAATGAAATTCTATCAATGATTTTATTCATTCACAAACGAATAAATCCAGATGCAAAAATGTTTTCTGGGCTTTCTATTCTGCTCATTAACAATAGGTTTTGTATCACTACCACTTTTAATTGTTGAAGCTCTGTAATAGGTGTTCTTACCGGTTGGCACAAATACTCCTCTGTAGTCACCATCTTCAGAAATTTCTCAGCTGACATTCACTTAAACACTCAAGTGTATGCACAGCTTCAAAAATTAGAAGAAAACTAACATCTTAATTAAGACCACTTGTCTAAGACTGGCCTACTCTCATTAATTTGTCTTCTTTTGAGTACCCAAAGAAAAATGTATCTTTTCCTTCATAGGGGATCAATCTCTAAGTAATTCTATACTTTAAGCTTCTATTCTGTGTGAGTAACATAACTTTTTCTCACTACCTAGGTCCAACATTTTTTTGCTTCTGGTTGAATTTCATGGACAAATTAAGACTTTTGCTTGTTCTTTAGACATCTGTTCCTAAAATGTTTATTTATCCTAATCTAAACCATTCCCATTGAGAACAGTTTCTAAACAGAGAAGCCCTATGACATCTTTGGCACATTTCCAGTGATTTTTACTTGAAGTCTACTACAGAAATATCACTTATTATAAAGTTCAAGGAAAATAACCCATCATCTAAATAATCCATTATTCACTCAGCTAGAGTCTCCCTGAGGTTATTTTCTTGTGCTCTCTTGCATCTTCAGAAGCTCTGCTAAGAAACTATTCTAAAAATGTATAAACAATGTGGTATTATTTTTAATGTGGATAGGCTTAGGAGTTAGAATTCTGACAAGGGCTGGAGGACTTGGCTTAGCTACTTACTATCATTTTAATCTTGGTCAAATTATTTAACCACCCTAAACTTTTGTTTCCCCTCCAGAAAACGATTTATGTCTCAACCCTGAATATTTATCAGAAGAGTCTCAACCCTGAATATTTATCAGAAGAAGCTACAAGAAAGTCATTTTCATTTTTGTTTTCCACTCCTCCTCCTCCTCCTCCTATAAAAAATATTTGCTGCTTATGAAAAAACTATTGTAGTAAACTTTTTCCCTCTAGCCAGACATGCCTGCGGTTATCAGCATAGGATAGCACTAGTGGAAATCTGAACATCAAAAACCACCCAGCAAATGTTACCTAAACCCAAGGTATGGGGGAATATAAACAAATGACTATGGATATGTAGCAATTTGCTTTGCCTTCTAAGAAGAGCAAAATCTAAATAGGTGGGCTGAGTTCTCTGCACACTGAGACTGAGAGGATGGCAGAAGACAAGGGCTTCCTCCTAATGTCTTAAATGGCGCCTAACAAAGAAATGCTCAGAGAGTCTGAGACTCTTTCTTTCTATGGCTCTTGGGGTTACTCTTCAGAATACTGTAGCTTTATGGACTGCAATTAATACATAGGGAAAAGTAACTGCACATCTATTGGTATCCAGCAGTCAGTGACAAACAAAATAGCAAATACCAAATCTGTTTCAATTAAAAACAGAAACTAAACAAAGATACTGATTCTTGTCTTAATATTCAATTCCATGGAGGTTGTGGGATAATACAAATAAATGCTACAATGCAAGAAATTTAAATCACTGTTAAAAATATTGATAAAGATGAGACAATACTTACTAGAAATTATCACTTAGAAATAAAAATAGATTAAAATCTTCTGTTCACAAATATAAAATGTGGGGATAAATTTAGTCAAAAAAATATAAAAGTTTTGTTAGAACTGACACAACAATATAAAAAGGTATATTTCCATTGGTTCAAAATCTTCCTTTATATACTGTAAGAATTTCTTATTGTTTGGTACCTGTTTTAGCCAATACAACCTAAGCAAATAATACTGAATTTGCTTTTGATTTAAGGAACTGCCTGATAAGGCTAACAAAAGCTAGAATCGGGTCAGAAAACTTGACTTTGCCAGATTGTTGAGAATGTATATGAAAACTTTTTCAGGAGGTAGAATCATAATAAACAGACTGACAGACAAGTTTTTATGTTTGCCAATTTGTAATGAGAAATATGCCAACTGAACATTAATGCTTAACTGGCAGGCCATCCCTGGTGCTCCTTGGGAGTAGATCATAAGCACTGAAGTGTAACCAGAAAGTTGCATGGAAAGCCTGAAGATCAAAGAAATTTAGACCTGTGATGCTCTGTAATAGGGAGCATAATGCTCATCTTATTGTCCAGTCTACTGGGCTGTGCTTAGCAGGACATTACATGCCTAAAATGTGTTAAGTGTTCAATTTCCCCATGCACAGCCAACAGTTATTTTAATATTTGCCAGTCTGATATGTAAAAAAATGAAAGTTCATTGCTAGTTTGGTTTATACCTTTTGGGTACTATCACATTTGAATATTTTTTTCATTTATTTGTCACATTAAATTTTTTTTACATAAATCGAGGTGTTATTTTATCTTTTGCCAGTTTTCCTCTATTATCTTTTTCTTATTAATTTGTATGAGCCCTGAGTATTTTATATTTTCTGTCATCTACTTCATATATTTTCTGACTCGTCCTTTCTTGTTTATCACATCATTTACCTTATAAATATTAAGTAATATTTTGGTTGAAAGCATCTATCTTTTTTATAATTTGGTTTTTCTCTCTTGGCTAGAAGTTTCTTCTCTCCTGGATTCTGTGTGTTGACTTCCAGTTTTATTGAAGAACTTTAAAATTAATTTTCAACTTCATGTCTATCTGCATACTGGTTTTTCAATCTTTTTCCCAGATAAATAGCCAGATATTCTAACATTATTACTACATAAATCATCCCTTTCCCTCTGGTTGTTACCTATGTTTAATTTTTACTTGGAGATTTTTGAGAAGATTCTCAAATGCTTTACATTAATCCAGCTTATCAACACCTATGTTTACTGAGTTGACTACTATTGTATGAGCCTGATACAATCATTTATTATATTCTGATATAATGTGATTATAGTTATAATGTGTTCCTATTAGAGTTAATTTTCTGATTTAGAAAATATTCTTTGTACTTTTCAAAAATTAACTTTTAAATCTTTTCTCCGTTATTTATTCCTCCACATATACTCTAATAACAGTTTTATCTAAATCTTTGGGGTGGGGCCCCGCCATCTGTATGTTTTTGAAAACTCCCTACTGAGATTCTAATCTGCAACCACTGCCTTATGCCGTTCTTCTAAAGCAAAACTTCAGGTCTATATAATGATTTTATTTCTACATTGATTTCATTGCAAACAAGTTTTGATATTTAAAAAGTTTTTTAAAACACTACAAACAAGGAAACCTACTTATATAGTACCACCAATAATATCCGTCAGGCAATTGAATAGGGGCCTCCCCGGTGGCGCAGCGGTTGAGCGCTGGGTTGTGAGGCTGCCCGCAGCCTCTGCAGCTCCTGTTCGATCCCTGGCTGCTCCCCGGCCACCAGAGGAGGGCCCCACATGGCGCGCAGACCTCTCCTGCCACCCGCTGCTCCCCTCAGCAGTGTACTTCGGTCCTTCTGCCTGCTCTGCTCCCCGCTCTGGTGAATCCTCTCACCCTCCCGCGCTTCTGACTGTACCCAGTGCTTGTATAAATAAATAAATTAAATAAATAAATAAATAAATAAATAAATAAATAAATAAATGAATAAGTGAGTGAATGAATAAAATTATTAAGGAAAAAAAAGAAAGAAAGAGTTGAATAAATGCAGGTCAGGAGCGAAGCTCTAGGAAGCAAAGTGCAGGATCAACAGAACATCCAAAAACCTAATTTTAAAAAGTCATATAATGGGTGGAAGCGGAACGCAGCAACGTGATGGGAGCACCCTTCAGGCTACAAAAATGGCCGCCACCTTGCTGGTGCTGGTGGCTTCGCCGTGGTCTGGAGTCCGGGGACTGCTCCGGAACTGCTGGGGACGTTTGCAGCAGAAACTTCAGCAGTGTCAGCCAGGCTTTCGCGGTCCTCCGTGGGGCCCAGCATTAGCAATCCAAGGTCCAGCTATATTTACAGAACCAACCAATGATATCAATGGAAATGAGGAGATTTCCAGTCTTTCAGAGAGAATCTTTTGGATGGCAGCTCCCAAAAACAGATGCAGCATTGAAGTTAACAGGTGTAGGAGAAGAAACCCACAGAAACTTATTAAAGTTAAGAACAATATAGATGTTTGTCCTGAATGTGGTCACCTGAAACAGAAACATGTCCTTTGTGGCTACTGCTATGAAAAAGTGCGCATGGAGACTGCAGAAATCAGAAGACAGATAGGGAAACAAGAAGGAGGCCCTTTTAAGGCTCCTACTATAGAGACTATGGTGTTGTATACAGGAAAGACACAGACTGAACAAGATCAAGGCAAGAGGATCACTGAATGAAACAGAAAGCGGCCATCCTGGTTCACCCAGAACTGAGAGCAAAGATGTGTGAAGAGGGTTTCTCATAAAACATTTCTTCTGAAAGAAGAAGGTTCCTTATCTTTATCTTCTCGTGCTTGTTTTTAAATCATCAATAGTTCAAAACAGTCTTTAAAGCAGCTAGTTTTGTATGGGTAATTTTAAGAATATATCATTGGTAAGCTCTGTCCATTATTATGACATTATAATGTGTTAAGTAAACAATTTCCACTACAAAATAATAAAAACAATTTAAAATTCAAAAAAAAAAAAGTCATATAATGATCCCCAGTTACTACTAGAAATTCTGGTGAACTGATTTTTATCTCCAGATTTCAGTCACTTTAATTTGCTCATTGTCCATGTCCCAAAGCACGTATCTCGGAGCCCTATCAGTTCTCTGTCTTTTATTATCGGTGATTTCAACAGGTAAGATTTCAATGATGTACATTTTTAAACCATCACTGATTTCCCCCTGTGCCCTACATTCTAGATCTAGTCTAGTCATCAAATTCCATCACTGAGGGCCTCCCCAGGTGGCGCAGGTGGTTGAGCGCAGCTCTGTGGAGCTGTCCGCAGCCTCTGCGGCGCCGGTTCAATCCCGGCCAGCAGGCGAAGGTCCCACATGGTGCAGCAGACCTCTCCTGTCTCGCCCGGTGCTCCCCTCAGCAGTGTATTTTGTCAGTCTGCCTGTTCTGTTCCCCGCTCTGTCTCTGGTGAATCCTCTCACCCTCCCACATATCTGGCCTGTACCCTGATTCTTGTATAAATAAACAAATCTTAAAAAAAAAAATTCCATCACTGATGAAAGTAATCCTTTCTTTTTTCTGCATCAATTTTTAAATTCAGATCCTTAGACTATTCTAGGTAGGCTCCTGACAAACATTCCTATAGTTATCCCTGCCCTTTAGCCCATGAAATAACTCCACATAGCAGTCAAATGGCTACATTCTATCTAAGTCATTCCAGGCCCTATATGTCAAACCATGGCAATGCATTGCCTCCATCCTCTGCAGAAAAAATGCATAGTTCATCTTGCCTTTGAGAATATTACTAAGGCTGTTTTATTGGAATCACTTTCCTGTCTCCCTATAGTAAGAATGACTCATTTATGTGTTGCTGCAAATTTTTACATGAAGCTGTTTTTTCATTTTTTTTTTTTTTAGACTTTTTTTTAGAGCCTGTGTATGGCACAGTAAAATTGACCCCCCACATTGACTTACAAACACAACCTCTTCCATTATCAACATCCCATCCAGAGAGGTGTATTAGCTACAACTGGCGAATCTAAATCTGATGCACATCATTAACATCCAAACTCCCTACTTCCATTAGAGTTCTCTTTGTGTCCCACATTTTACAGCTTGAACAAATGTATCCACCATCATAGGATCACACAAAGTAGCTTCACTATATCTAAACTCCCTGTGATTTGTCTAGTCAGCCCTCCTACCCACACGCTCCAGCACTCATGTTTGCATCTATTACCTTTTCCAGAATGTCGCGTAGTTGGGAACATACAGTATATAGCCTTTTCACTCAGTAATATGTATTTCAGTTGGCTCTAAGTCTTTTCATAGCTTGATAGCTCATTTATTTTAGTTCTCAATAACATTCCATTGCCTGGATGTACTACCACAGCTTACTCATCCATTCACCTACCAAAGGACATCTTGGTTGCTTCCAATTTTTGGCAATCATGAATAAAACCACTATAAACATCAGTGAGGCTTATTTTAGACAAAAAGATCTATTTATTGCACCTAATAGAAATCTATATTTTGTTAGATTGTTATCATCTTATATGTCAATGGATAGTAAACTCATTCATTTGTTACAAATGCCTTTTCTAACTACTTTCTATATCACATATTAATGAATACAAGGGAAAATACAGCTTCTAAAACAATTCATGTGATTTTCTACCATGAACTACCATTACAGTTATAACTCAATATCCTCTTATAGAAACGGGTCTGAAAATTTGCAAGTGGGCATCTACAGCCTTCCCTATTCTAATGGAAATTCTCCTTTGTAAAAACCCTTAAAACCTTGCTCGTTTTAGCAAAAATTTTAAAATGGGGAAATAGCATTAATAATTAATTAAAAGAACAAAAAATCCTTCACCCTGCAAAAGACTAGCAAAAGATTTATTATCAACATGCTAATGACACTGTAAACAAACAGTTGCTTCCAGAAAAGAACTGTAAGAGTATGGACAGTAATGGAACAAGCCAGAACTCGATGACCTGGGGGCATAACCACTATTAATAGACCAGATACAGGTCTTGTGTATTTAAAATATTTACCAGTCAGTACAGAGAGACAATCAGATCAGTTTCTGGCTGTAAATACCAGCACAGACTTAAGACCACATAATGACTGAACAGGAGCAAACAGGAGGTAATCAGAAATCTAGAAACAGAGGCAGAATGTGGTATCTAAAGACTGTTAACTGGAAGTAAAGTACCATGGAGGTTCAAAAAAAAAAAAAAAACCCAGATGTTATGCTAGCAAAGTCTAAGAACAGGAAATCTGAGGACATACAGCTAGGGAAGTGGGTTTAATTGCTAAAAAGATATGTCAGCAGAATTTGATTCTGCCCAACTTTTGGTTTTATTTTTAGAGAATTTCATACTTTGAAGAGCAAAGCCTGGTCCCATATTTGGAAGAAATGGAGTACTGAGGGTGTGACAAATCAAGGCTCAGGAAGGAAGTAATACCAATTGTTAGAAGTAGAAGCTTCTACGCAACAGTGGGAAGTAGCTCAGCCATGGAACTGAAGGCAGGCTGATGCGGAGTAACCTGCACGCGTGAGTGAGGGCTCTCCCAAACCACCTCCCCAGCCCAGCACAGGACACAACACAGGTCCTGACCTAAGACTCAGCCTGCACATGACTCCAACAGTGATACAAGCAGAAAAGGGCTAGGACACTGTGGGTCTGAAACTTACTGCCGCTATTACATTGACCTTCCTGTATACTCTCAGATGCCTATGGACACTGCGGCCGTTCTTACTAGATTTTCCTGACTTCTAATTTTCTATCTCATTATTAAACTATGTGTTATTATTAAACTCTGTCTTTATTGACCAATGAAGTAACTTAAGTCATAAAATCAAATACCTAATGAGTTAGATAATCAGCTGTACTTTTTACATGTTTAGTCTCGAAGATAATGTGTCATCTTTGTCAAATGAGATAAATCTAGCTTAAGGAGTTAGAGCACTTTTTATTAAATGGATCTTTGGTCTTTGGTCCCTGACTTAAATGACATGCAAAGCAAAGAACTCCTAATTCAGAAACTATTACAGGTTCACACTATTCATTAAAAAGCACAATGAGTTGGCTTTCTTGTCTAAGCTTCACTTCTTAAAACAGACAGATTTCTCTTGAGGGATGAGAGGGTATTTGGCAATAAACAATAGATAATTCTCTTCCATAATAGTCAACATTAAGTCTCAGTGGATACTGATAATAATGTCAATGAAAACATAAATTACCCTAACAATTTATTTAAAATCTGGTTAAAAACCTCTTTTGCCTCCCATATCTGAGGGATATGGGACCTACTGTTCCTACCTCTTAAATATGTCCCATCTCCATGATTAAATGAGTAAAAAAAAATTTAAAGCACTTAGAATACTCACCCATGTGGTAGGCATTACATGCAATACATGTTTGCTAAATAACAACATTTCTTCAGTTGTTCAACTTTCATCTCACATCTGGTTTACCACAATAGCATCTTATCTCTCTTCATATGAGGCACCTTTCTGTCTTCCTCATTCTTTGCCCCCAATGCATGAAAAATGAAAAGTAATGAAATCATCCCAACCCACTGTCACAAAGTCCATCGGTGGCTACCCATTTATTTTAGGTTTAAGGACTAAAATCTATAACAATGTCTTCAAGGTTCTATAAGATCTGGTCCCTGCCTACCTTTCCAGCTCGTTCCCATTACCCCACCCCCATACCTCTTGCTTTAGCCAAACTATCCTATTGCTTCCACCATATAAGATCTCATTTGTCTACCTGTCCCTCTCCCCAACTGTTAGCTATTTCTTCCTTTACATTTTGTTGAAGTATCACTAGATCATGGAAGCTTTCAATTAAAATATGAAGGATTAAAGGAAGTTAGCTAGATCAAAAGTTTGAGTGGTTTTTTTTGGGGGGGTGTTCTTAGCACACCATATAACTTATCTGAGCCCCAACATACTCATTCATTAAAATATGAAAGCAATTTATCAATTGATGAATGGATAAAATGTGATTATTCCCACAGTGGAGTACTAGTTAGCCATAACAAAGTAATGAAATTCTGATATATAGTACAATGTACATATAATTCATATTCCAATGAACCTTGGAAATATGGTAAATAAAAGACTGTCACTAAAGAATTTCATTTCAAGAAACTCCATTTCAAGAAAATGTCCAGAATAGGCAAATCCAAAGAGATAAAAGGTAAATTAATGAGTATGAGGTTTCTTTCTAGGGTGATGGAAAACTACAATTAGAAAGTGGTGATGGTTGTACAACTCTGTGAATACACTAAAAACTAGTGAACTGCATAGTTAAGTGAGTTTTTACAATGTATGAATTATATCTTAGTAAGTGTGTTATTTTAGAAAATAGCAATAATAGTTTTTCTTGGGTTTTCATAATGATTACATGAGATTTAATAAGTGCATATCTATATGTGATTATCCATGTGCATACATGTGTACTGACATACTCATACAGTATGTACTAACCAGTAATACCACAAGCACTTCATAAATGGTATGCATTATTTTAATCAAATAACATTTTCACTGAAATTTAGGTGAATGCATAATTGTGCTTTTGGGGATTGACTTTTACTATTTTTGCAAGACAAAAACTTACTACAGTAATAATGCATCTCTGAGTATTAAAAATTCTCTTGATAAACTTTTTCATTGTGCAAAAATCCAAAATATTTGTACAAATTTAATTTCT